ACAGTTACAGATTATTACCAGATCTGTTCAAATCGTGTCCTGTCCAGAACATCTTTGGTACCCTGTAATGTAACATATGCGCAGTTACAGTCATCGTGCGGTTTTGATGTTTTATAATCGTACCAAATTGCAAAACGTACATCTTTCATGGTTAAATGACTGCAGAACAAATTCCAAAAATGAAAAAAGTTATGAAATATATTTTTACATTTTTCAATGTGCTAAAGAAGCATATTCATTTACATGAACTTTGATTTTTGTTCCAATTAAAAAAAAAATTGGTGAGCATTATATTCATGTATGAGTAGACGTTATAGCTGTTGGTATAATTTTGTGTACCTCTGTCATTTTTTTAAACGCCGTCTCACATAGCCAGTCGTTAATATCAAACTCTGCAAAGCACTCAGTGAACTCTGCCAGATCGATCACTCCATCACCTGCAATGGTAATTGTCACGTAATGTGTTTCTGTATACTTACTATGACTGGTGTTCTATTATTACTTTAAATGATGTCTGCACACCATATTTCAATGAAAGAAAATATGAAAGCTACAGTTTAATTTGATGGGAAAAAATGACTGCAAGAGTAACACAGTATTCTAGAAAACGTAAACATTTGAATTCAAAATTTAAAAAAAAGTCAAGTGAATGATAAAAATGAGAGAATGATGTACATTATTTTTAAAATGACAATTTGGGAATAAAAATTGGTCTATGATTTTAGAACCTTAGAAGAACAGCAGTTTTCTGGGGTTGACGTTTATGTCTTGTCAGTCTTTACTTGGATTCAAACTAAAAGTATGGTAACGCTTGTTATCACATAAAAACTATGACGCCTTGATTTATAATTTCACGTATAGAGCGTTAAGTAGTGCAGCTAGTTATATTTTCCAACTTGTTTTGAAAATATGAAGTCATTAAATGTAGGCACCGTTTAAATCTATGACATCAAACAGGAAGTCCATGAGGTCTTTCTGCCAGCTATAGTCCACCTTCCCGTCCAGTGACGTGTCCGGCCACCCGGCTCTAGACTGGGCCGCCGCCACAAATTCTGACCAGTGTGTTAACCATTCTTCAAGGTTCATCTACAATTTGAAAAACTATAATAAATAAAATAAAAGGCGTTGTCGGTAGGGCGCTTCAGTCACGCTTTTGTGGTTTTCTTTGTTGAAATTCCCAGGCACGACATTTTTCTCCACGAAAGGACGTACGATTTTTGTAGTTTGAAACAGACTAATTTTACTTACTGACGTGCAACGCTCATCAGATAAAGTGTTACTTCATGGGAAATCTAGACCATGGTTGTAAATAATGAAACATCATTTGAGCGCTGGGATATCAGAGAACCAGGCAGTACCTGAATGAAAGGTAAAGGTTACTTGGAACGAATACAAACGAAATTAACGCCTTAAGATCGACGAAGAACTCACGTGCAATTCGCAGAACTCACGTGCATTTCGAGCGGTCTGCTAGACTTGTGCGCTCTGTTGCCTTTCATCAAACCTGCCATGATGGACGCTATCCTCTCCTGTAAAATCTTGTAACTGGGGTCGGAGACTTCACTGTCATGGATGTCTGCAACTTTCTTCAACAAAAATAAATGTAACACAGGATTAACACCGTCCGGGTTATTGTCGTTTTCCTGAGTACAACATCCGTAAATGCCCATATACTGGGTGGACTACCCCCACATATCTCACCCGGGATCAAACCAAGATAGTAGAGAATAACACCAAGAAATAACCCGCATGGCGTATATTCAGCTCTCTACCAGGATGACTGCGTAATATAACTGGAAGCTTCGCCTCACCTGCTAGAATATATCTTATTACGGAGCACGTGATCGGTTAATAAATCATCTTTTTTTACTTGTGAACAAAAATGGAGTTGATTCTGCTTGGCGGGCTTACAGAGACGTATTTTATGGCTAATACCGCCATTCCAAAGGTCACTGTTAGGTCACCCGCTTCTTTAATTGCCTTTACTCGAGGCATTAGTTCCAAAAATTTGAAAACAAAAACTTTGGTTCCTTAGTAAGCATTATAATGCATGAGAACTTCAAAGTTGAAGTGCAGGAAAGGATTATTTCAATACATCAAAATATGTTTTTTTAATCAAAGTAAAAAAGTGATTCATATAACAATGCTCAGTATTATAACTAACAAGGAATCGCTGTTAATATCCTGAACATCTTACCCTTAGTAAATTGACAAAATCCGTTCTGGAGACTACTTTGTCGTGTGTCGCATCTGAAACAAAAAGTGAGCTATATTATTAATGACATGATAATTCATTCACATAGAGTGAGCATTTGTTGGCTTATCGTTCTCCTTTATATAAACACAATATGTACACAATGGAATTCAAAATATTAAGTATTTTATACAAATAAATTAGACAGAAGTTGTATCGAGGGATTTAAAAAAAACAGACAAATAACATCTAGTAGACAAAACGAGCGTAACAGAAGTTTATTGCCTGGTATACATCTTTAGAATAATTAGTGTGAACTTCTTTTTATATTTCTGTAAGAATGCAGGTGGTTTTCCTCGATATTTACAGATGTGCATCTCAGATATTCGCTGGTAAGTATATAATATTTTATCTGTTTGATCACCATTCTTTCTACACACGATAGTACAGGACATTTTACTGCCTGCGGATCCCGAACGCATTATCTGTACTGTACAGATTAATTGTTCACCAGATGGGTGACGAGGTGCTTATATATGACCAAGGTTCTTATATCTAACGCTAAAGACCAGATATTCACTGCAGTGACATTACATTTACATATGAAGTGGCTGTCAACGAAACATTTAAAAACGCTACACCCTGTTAAGTAGGTTAATGAAAGTCGTATTACTCCCTCGCGGTTAATGAAGACACAGAACCCGTTCTGCAGTGACAGCGTTCGCTGTTTTCACCCGAGACTCACGATATCATGAGTCCTTTTTTTTCAAAAGGAAGAAATGTTTATGCAGTGCACGTCTCTCTACTGGCTGGCTTACCGGTACAGCTTGACGGTACAAACCGCAGCACGGAGCCTCAGAACTTATTAAAAAGGCCAGAAGCAAATCCTACCTGACAAGTGTTGCATTTATGATGGAATGAACCGACAGTATTAAACATTCTCTACGCCCATAGCGGTTGTCAACATACTATATATTGAAACTGAAATATTTAATGCTCTGGACTAGTGACAAATAACATCTGTATTATTTATTGTTAACAACGTTAAATGTTGATAAATGCAATAGCACTTGGTATTAAGCACCAGTATATTGGGAAGACGCTGAAGGTCATTTAATGCATGAACCTTGCGTGACAACGTCATTTATTCCCACGCTCTGAGAAGACTCTTACAATAAAAATTCTAATATTTGGTTGTCGTTTTAAGTTATAAGAGGTGGTAAACTCTACATTCAAAGACGGCTGATTTGGCCGCGTGGTATGACCTAGGTTTTAACTCCAGGACAAGTGCCTTGTGCCGTCTGCTGACAGATTATTATCAAAACTTAATTAATTATCAATATTACTTACCAAACAACACAACAAAAACATGCTCATATTTGGCTTTCAAAAAATCAGAGAGTTCATATCCTTCACCATGTCCAGTTGCCATGGATGGTGTGGGTGGTCAGGTGTTCTACGGGATATATAAACAATGACATACAGGGACGCTCTCTCGCTGCGACACAGTTAGGCAGCCACAGTGTATATTTAGCCAGCAGACCACTACACAGCAGAGTCGCATTGGGAACTGAACATGAAAGTGCCTCGGCGCATAGGTGAGGCGATTTACACGCCTGTCACGCAGTCTGTCGTAGTAAATATTATCAGGCAGAGACACTCGCATGGATTATGAGTCAGTTAGTGATGGCGTGTTGCGAGTTGATAAACGTAACCGCTTAATTACTAACCCCTGCATGTCTTTAAAAAAAAACACGGTTTTCAAAATGCCTGTGCGTTGAAGATATATATAGTTTTTTTAAAGACCAACAGAACCTTTTGGTTATTCACAAGAAAATTTAATTCTTTTAGAATACAAATTTCATGAGCAGGAAAAGCGCTCTCCGTTTGAAATCCCTAACCACGAAAGGTTGAGGGTAAGTTGTCCATTTATATTAGTCAAATTTGATTTCATTTTTGTTTGTTTGTTTGTTCTGTCAGATAAGGGATTATGGTTATTACATGGAGTAATTTGGCATGCCTGTAGAATGGACTTTGAACATACTTGGCCTTTTATTGGGATAGTTTTTATTTCACTCTAAAATTCAATCTTCAATAATATCTTTTCATCATATTCTAAAATTTCACGTAAATATTAGGAGGATGCGCAGGATGTTATGTCTGTAACTAGCAAAACAGTATGAGAAAGCGCAGACAAATTTTCAGCCAAGTAACCTGTTATAGGGCTCTATAGTAAAATTGTCCTCGACTACTATTTTACGTTTACCAGACGAAGCATAGGATTATTCACCATTGTAAACGCTCCAAACACACTTAACAAAATCATACGGTACCCCATACCCCCCAAAAAAGAATATATATATATATATATATATATATATATATATATAATTTTTTTTGGTACTTAGCGCCGCCTCCCCATCCCCAACAAGACGCCTGGATGCATCCGAGCTTGTTCGCAGTGTTTCATACAATACACTTATGTAGAGCACAAAATAGAAATAAAAAAGTACAATTCAAACTCCTTAGATAGACTCTCTTTCTATTCTCACACTGAACGTCATGCTTTGCTACATAGGCTACAGGCGTTAATTTAACTTAATCAAAATAATTAACTCATAATAAGGCCCTATAAAATGCTTGGGGCAGCTTTTGAAACTATATGGTACGACTCAATTGCTATTTTATAAATATCCACATAAAAATTCTTTTTCAAAATGTCTGTGCATGTGGATGGGAGGGGAACTTTTCGTTTTTCAAGACAAAATTAAAATAAGTTCATTGCAGCCGGCATTTAGCGAACGCCAAACGTTGAAGCTTGAGTGAATCCAACGTGTGACCATAAAATACGCCAGTCTTAAGGGAAAACGTTTTGGAAAAAGCCGGTAGGACCTACTAGTTCCTATGTTTAGGCCTACTGGTAGATCCAGGACCAATGGGCGCATGCAAAGTAGTGAAAGCCTAAGTGAGATGCATATATCTTCAGATGGACTCGTCCATGACTCACTCATAGCGCCATCTTTCGTTCACTGTAGAAACGGGAAATATCTGGAGTCGTAGTAGTAGCAAGTCCGTACTAGCAGGTACTGGTGTCATATTATCTAAAATGTCCAAAGAATGCACCATGAATAATTTTATGTGTCATTGCCTTTGTAGCAGCCAGGGTTTGGGACAGGAAAACTGTGGTTATGTCACTGTCACTGTACTGATTACGCACATAAAAAAGAAATCTTATCTGATGTTGGGATTGTTCGTTCTAACCCAGTTTCCACAGTGAACAGTCTGCCAATGATAAAGTTTATAACCCACATCAATTTAACATATGTCGCCGTGTTTTTACTACTTCACTGTGGAATAATCTTTCGAAAGTTTACGTTATACTTTTGATGTTTGATGATCTTGTATGACAAAACTAAACAAGTTCTTTCAATGGAACATGCATTGATATGCACTGACACCGTTGATAAGTATTATCAAGTTCCTTGTTGAAACTCCTTGGTATTATACGTGTCACTTTTGTTTTTTAAAGAAACGTACACAATATATTGTTATGCCTAGCTAACATAATTTGCATTAAGAAGTGTAATAAAAAAGAGCTCATCACATATGAATGAAAAATTTAATAGTATTAAATAAATTATCAAATATGAAATAAGAATAAAATATGATGGCACATAGAGAAAGACATTGACTTTGTAATATTAAAAAATATAAAATATTAATAAACATTTATTGTTTTATGTTAGGTTGTGAGAGTGATTGGTAGGCTGTAAACTCCGACGTTGTTGCAAGGGAGAAGCGGGAGGGGGCGTTAACATTCATGTTATTTTAATTATTTAATGTTTTTATCTTTTTAGGAACTGTGTAGGTCTTATCACAGAAATATTACCACAAACCTCTGGGAGAGAAGCAGTGAAAGGTGTTCACTCCTTGGACAGAGTATATACTGATGCAAGATGTAAAACTGCACACAATTAACACATTCCATTTTTATTGAACCAATTGGAAATATGGCTGAGCAAGTGTCAAATAAAACAACACAGAATACCAGTATAGAATATGAATCTGACACCGCAGTTAATATGCACAAGCTTAACCTCAAAACTAAAGGGGAACTGAACCATAATGAAGGTAGTTGCAGTAAAGGAGAATTTTTGTCTTCCACCAAAGAAGCTGATTTTACTCTGCCAGGAACTGATACTCTGCCAACATTAGATACTATGTCAGGAACTGATACTCTGCCAACATTAGATACTATGCCAGGAACTGATACTCTGCCAACATTAGATACTATGCCAGGAACTGATACTCTGCCAACATTAGATACTATGCCAGGAACTGATACTCTGCCAACATTAGATACTATGCCAGGAACTGATACTCTGCCAACATTAGATACTATGCCAGGAACTGATACTCTGCCAACATTAGATACTATGCCAGGAACTGATACTCTGCCAACATTAGATACTATGCCAGGAACTGATACTCTGCCAACATTAGATACTATGCCAGGAACTGATACTCTGCCAACATTAGATACTATGCCAGGAACTGATACTCTGCCAACATTAGATACTATGCCAGGAACTGATACTCTGCCAACATTAGATACTATGCCAGGAACTGATACTCTGCCAACATTAGATACTATGCCAGGAACTGATACTCTGCCAACATTAGATACTATGCCAGGAACTGATACTCTGCCAACATTAGATACTATGCCAGGAACTGATACTCTGCCAACATTAGATACTATGCCAGGAACTGATACTCTGCCAACATTAGATACTATGCCAGGAACTGATACTCTGCCAACATTAGATACTATGCCAGGAACTGATACTCTGCCAACATTAGATACTATGCCAGGAACTGATACTCTGCCAACATTAGATACTATGCCAGGAACTGATACTCTGCCAACATTAGATACTATGCCAGGAACTGATACTCTGCCAACATTAGATACTATGCCAGGAACTGATACTCTGCCAACATTAGATACTATGTCAACAGCTAATATCACATTGTCAAGTGACATGTCTTCAGTTGACATAATGACAACTGCTGACTTTGACATTGTTCCATTTACTGAGATTATGTCAGACGATGATATTTTATCCAATACTGAATGCAAATCAGCAGATGATGCCATGTCTACAGCTGACAATGTGCTGACAGGTGTCACTGCAACAACTGATAAATTGCCTTCTGACATTGCAGGAGTAACCAAAACCTCACCAGCAAGTGCCAAAATGTCTACATCTGACACTGAACCAACAAAACTAAGATCAGCTCCTGACATGTTTACAGCTTACTTCAAACCAACAACTGGTGTGGCACCAGCTACCAAGAAAGGGTATAAGTGTGGCCATTGTAACCAAGTGTTTGTGTGGAAGGGGGACTGTGTGGCGCATGAAATGATTCATAGTGGTGAGAAAACCTTTATTCTGCAACAGAAGACAAAACCCTCTTTGACCACAGAGCTTGGCAATGAACAGGGTGCTTCATATTTGAGAGATAAACGGATTAAAAACAAACCTTTTCAGTGTAATTTCTGTAGCAGATTGTTTAAATGGAGCGGAGATCGCACTGCACATGAAGCGCTAGTTCATCTGGAGGAGAATACAGTGATGGTTAATGTAGATACAGGACGTCTTAGTAACAGCCGTGCCACACGTCGAGGTAACAGGAGGCACAGACAAAACGTCTGCCTTGATGTCGAGAATCTCCATTCAGAACAAAGCCCATTTAAGTGTCAAATCTGTGAAATGGATTTTAAAACTAGAGCTGGTTTTAGAGACCATAAATTGATTCACTCAGGAACGAGACCCTATAAATGTCAGACTTGCCCCAAAGCCTTCTTCAAGAAGATTCACCTCCAAATGCACAAGATGCGACATAGAGACGATAAGCCTTTCAAATGTTCATTTTGCCAAAAAGGATTTGTCATTCGATATGAACTTGACCAGCATGAACGGGTCCACACCGGAGAGAAGCCATTTCAGTGTTCACACTGTCCCAGGAGGTTCAGACACAAACAGGTCTTAAAAAAACATGAAATGAGGCATGTTGGGGACCTGCCATTTAAGTGTGATGTGTGCTTTAAAGCATTCCCCAGTACATATGACCGCAGGGTCCATGCCAAGATTCACACAGGGGAGAGGCAATTCCAATGTAGTCAATGTAGCATGGCCTTTGATACCAATGGCAAGCTGGAAAACCACAAACAGAGGCACACTAATGAAAGATTGTATGGCTGCAGTGTTTGTGACAAATATTTTAATACTAAAAGTGATCTTAGCGGTCACATGGTGTATCACACTGGGGAGAAGAAACACAAATGCCAGTATTGTGATAAGTGTTTTTTAACTGTGTCCGATGTCAAGCGACATGAAGACACTCATCTGAAACCTTATAAATGCCAGTTTTGTAATAAAGAATTTGCAAATAAAGCCATATGGACAACTCATGAAAACATTCACAAAGGAATCTTCAGTGATGACATGAAATGTAGATATTGTGATAAAGTGTTTGCAACCAAAGCTTGGCTGGCAAGTCATGAAAGAGCCCATGCTGACATTAGAGAGTTTGATTGCTCCTTGTGCTCCAAAGCATTTGGCACCAAGTTCAGCCTTAAAATTCACATGAGGAGCCATAATGGTGAGACCCCGTACAAGTGTAAGCACTGTCCCAAGAGGTTTGCCTACAGGCAGGTGTGTTTGAACCATGAAATGAGTCACACTGGCGAGGAGCCTGCCAAACCCCACTCCTGTCAGCACTGTGGGAAGGCATTCAGGAGGAAGGCACACTGCCGTGATCACGAGAGGATCCACACGGGAGAAAAATTGTTCAAGTGTTCTTTCTGTGGTAAGGCATTCACACATGAGCAAGGACGTAATGTCCATGAGAAGATTCATACTGACCAGAGACCTTTTCAGTGTCAGTTTTGTGACAAGAGATTTATAACCGGTAAAGATCGTAATAGCCACCAACAAGTACACACTAGAGAAAACGTGTTTAATTGCCCATATTGTACGCAAACATTTGGTTGGAAACACAGCATAAAAAAGCATGTTAGAAGTAAGCATCCAGAAAAAATTGGCCAAGAATCAGATTAAAATGATTTCCAGTTAACCATCATGTATGGGGACTTAACTGTATTCTTTTCCCACTTATTTTAAATTGAACAATGAAAATGAAATTAAAACCATACATTTATTCAGATGTTCAATTTTAATATTTCACAGTGATATCACAGTAAAAATGTCATTGTACCAAGAAGACTTGTATATGCATTTCACTGGAAGACTGGATGCTAGGCATGATTGAGTATTGGTGAATATCGGAATATGTAACCAAATATTGCAGCAATTATTGAACTAGTTGATATTTTATTTACTAATACAATTATTCTTCTGATGTAAGTGTAGGGGAGAGTTCAGCCAGATGATTTTCAAGTTGCCAGTTTGTAGACACTGGGCTGAAACTTTCCTTCATTTTCAAAAAAATTATTACTTAATGAAAAAAAGGTAGATGTATTCAGATATTCAGTTTTACATATTTTTTAATGTTCCACAGTAATAAACATCAAATTGTTCCTACTAGTTTGTTACTTATTTTATATTTCACTGGATATTGGATGTTATGGATTTATTTTGGTTGAGCATATCAGAATATCAAACCAAATGATACAGCAATTATTGGACTAATTTTACTGATATAATTATTGAATAATTGAAATATTAATTTTACTTATATAATTATTGTACTGATGTTGTAGTTCAGTCCTGGAATGACAGGCTCGTTTTTAAGGGACTTTTTTTTATGAAGACATTTGCATTACTAACAACACTATTGCATCAACAAACAAGTCCCTTAATAAATGCTTTTATTGGTAAGCTTACAAAAATAAAATAAAACTTGCAAGAGCTAAATATTACAAAACACTGGCAAAAATTTACATTTAGAATAAATTTTTTAAAGTTATTGGCACTTCAGTAACTTTTGCATTTCAAAAATGCAACAAAATGTTTGTTAGTGAAGTGTAAATTCAAGCATTAAATGATGGAAAAAGAACCTTTCACAGCAGCAACAGAGTGACGCACAAAATGCTTAATATTTTGACACGTTAAAATGAGAACTACACTACAAGCTAGAAAATGACACCAATTGGTTGTAAGTAAATGAAATTAAAAATATATGCAAGTTAATAAGGAAATAAAAAGATCATTTTGATGTATCAAACAGCATGATAAACTTTCAAGTACAATTCTTCAATTAAAAAAAAAAAAAAACGGCAGAAAGGTGCAAATTTATATTTTTAAAGTAGAAATATAAAGGCTGACCCACTCATACAAACTTAACAATCCTTGCTTTTTCCATTCCCAATGCTATAATTAACTACACGTAAATTGTGGTTTCCATCTAATTTATGTCACAAACAAGAAAATGACTAGGTTTGACAGCATTTTACAAAACTAATCCTATTTGTAATTGGCTACAGAATATATAATTCAGTTTAAACAATTTTATGCCATACAAAAACATTGGTGTTAATGATGTTCAACATACCTTATTTTGGTAAAATACTGGCTTTTTTGTTCCATTTATAAAAAAAAAATTAATTTTCTTAAGTAGAAATATCCTACATAATACATAATTTTTTTTCTAAAAAACAAATAATCTTCATCTTACATGTTTCAATCCATTTACAAAATGGAACATAAACAAAAATTACAAAATTAACTGATATGGCTATTCTCTTTTGTAAAGATAAAGTCTATCTCTTTCTATGAAACAAAAAGACTGGATATACAAAATATGGTACAATTACTCTAAAAAGATAAACTGAAGGACTGTAGACAATAACAATACAGTTAAGATCCATCTTATATTAAGTAAAAAAAGTCGCGTTGCCTTTTATGCCATAATACATTGTNATTCCGTACTCAATTTTACCCAAGCAAATTTTTTTCTTGAGTAGATCTTTATAGCACGGTGTTATAAGCTTACAAATTTGCAAAAAAAAAAAAAATTGCGTACTGACGCATAATTTGCGTTTCAAGTTATAAAATAATCAATCTTTTAAATTATTTAATATTTCAGATGAAATAATCTTCAGAAACAAATCCTCAAAGCATAAACGAATTAGGATAACGAACCATTTTATTACAGCAGTTCCCATTTTTTCTTTAATATAACGCTCTTTTTCCTGTTTTTCCTCAACACGTTTTCTTCCACGGAAGCTTCAAGATACCCTGAGAGCAATTTCTTTTATTAATATTCGCGACCGTGTTTGAACTTAATTGTTTAAGTATTGATATTTAACGTCATTTACAAATACCAATAAAATAACCCCATGAAATAAATGAGATATATTGAAAAATATGAAAGCCCACCAAGACGAGTTTCATACCTGTTATTACCTGGCTTTGGAATTGCAGCGGTGCATAATTAACAGGTTTTATTGTTAATGAGCTCTTGGTCAACTACAGGGTACAATGAAATTAAAAATGCATCAGCAATTAGTAAGCTTGCCAACTGATGACAGTATCTTAAAGACTATCAGCTTTTGATATGATCTAAATCACCTGAGGTGACCGAGATCGCGAGGATCGCAACTATTGTCACCGAAGTTAGTAAGTTAGTCACGGAAGACCGTCACAGATAAAGAAAGATAGTCAAGGAGTGCTGCAATTTTGGTGAATCCCACGGCAACACACTGAGGCATAAAGAAAATTGCTCAACTCCGTTCAACACAACTTTCCAAAATTATTCTGTCTGTTTGCACCATGCAGCTCAGTTGAGTCTCATAGACCTTTATCCCAATTGTCGTCACAGTACCGCGTGACCCAGATCTGTTGCTTCATTTATGCATATTGAGGTGAGGTTTACTAAAACGCTTTTTTACTACTAATAGATTGTTTTTATAATTTTTAAATGGCGGGGATCGATTAAAACATACCTCTAGTGTATAGATTGAGTGTTGAATCGTCAAAATTCGAGAAATGGGTTTTTATATGACCATTGTCCTTTAAGTCTGACAGCACAACGGCGAGCGCAGGTACCTCAGGCCCGCCGGCGCTCTTCGGGGTTTCCAACGTTACTACACGGAGGCCTATTCGAAATACGTCATCTGCGCTTCTTCATGGGTCAACGCCATGCGAACTCGCATTTGTGTCGACAAAAATGCATCAAACTTACAGCGCGAATAACGACATGAGCGACGCCGTTCCGTATCCACAAATTACATGTATGACCTCAGGTTCAACTTTCGAAAAACTTGCTGCTCAACATTGTTATGACACAGCAAGACTGAAAACGATTGATTTGACGTAACACCAGAAACATGGCAATTTTCATAATGAGAAGGAAGACGACTCTGAAAGTGCGGTTAATGAAATGAGTAGAGATAGTGACGCGAAAAAAGACGCCATTGTCACATCGCATATTGAAGGAACGATTGATTCTAAAAAGCGATACATTCCCCCTACTCCAGTAGAAATAACGCTGGACCTGGTTCTACAAGGACGCCCAATAAAACAGACGCCAGTGAATCAAGAACTTTGCCTCAAAAAGACCAGTCATATCAATGTAGAATTACAAAGCCCATTTCTAGCTGGCACACAAGAACCATTTTCTTCTCAAAATTTAACAATATCAGCGATATCAGTGCCCGATTTTGCAAAAGTAGGCGTAAACAGAAAAGACGAAGTGGCCGCTGCCAGATTGTCTCATAGTATTGAAAGCATTCTCGGTAGAAACAGGCCAAATACTGGTGACGCTAGTAATAGAAATGCTGACTTAGTCAAATTTTAATCGCTCTTTTTAAATGAGGCAGCATATCCTTTCGATTGTTATAAAATTAGGAGCAATAGCATTTTATTCTACCATACCTGTAACCATGTTTCCTATATATTATTTTTCTTATAAATATTAAAAGTTGGTTTGGATATTTATTGTTAGCCCAAGTGTATGACTGTTTACCGTTCTACCCCTGTACCTATTTTATTTGCCAGTTTACACTGCCACACTGCCTGCCACCTTGTGGTTTTATACATTCCGGGTATACAATGGCGGATTTCGGGGATCCTGACCTCCCCCCCCCCTTCTATTTCTGAAAAATATCACACCAAAGGTTCCCTCTTGAAATTAGAATTTTGAACAGCAATGAAACAACAAAAAAAAGCTTTTGTACTCTTAAAGTATTTATTTTCATTGCATGAATATTCAGACTAGTATTTCACACGAAAGAAACGGAAAAAAGCTATATTCCCAAATATGGGACCTCATAATTATAATTAATTAAAGTGATAATTACTCTTTGTATGAGAGCTATATTTCACAATAAAGACATTGTAAACAACTCATAAAAATATAATATATACTGTTTTACCACAAAATGGGCAGTTATAGCTATTATTCTGATATCTGAGCTTGTCATTAGACCACATGACCTCCATAGATGGCTATACTCTTTAACAATCTCTTTAAGAGACTATTTAAAAAAATTAGAAAAAAACAAAAACAGGGACTAACTTTGCATGTACAAATGGATTCATTTACCATTGATAAGTACGGGAAAATTGTTGTTTACTCCAGGAAAATTAATTTTTTTTGCCAAAATGAACAGTTATTATCCCTTTAACGATAGCCCTTCAGAGGGGAAAATTTAAAAATAAGAATCAAAACTCATACATGTGTTTTCCTATTGCAAAAGTAAAAGCCACAAAACAAACATTACGGTAGCATAAACACCGAAGTTACATTTGCCATCAAACTATACGATACACATCAGATTTAAAAAGCAAAAATAATTAACATTGCAAAGGCATGTCATACATGGAGCGCTTAAACAAACAATCACATTTGTATAGACAGTGACTAGTGTAGCAATATATAGCTATAGACTGTTCAAATATACAAATTGTCCTTCAGGTTTCTTCCATTTACTTACATGTTAAAGCTATCGTGATTTTCATTTAGAAAAGAAATCGACCTTTCTTTTTAATTTTGTACTACATGTACATGTACGTAACTTTTTTTCTGGAAAAAATATTTACATAGACATGGTGACATACTTTTTATTAACTATTCCGGATATCTGATCAGGATTTAA